GGTGTGGTGTGTGTGTGTTTGTCTGTTTACACATTTTTAACAAATTTTTGTTTTTGCATGTGTGTTATAAAATTGTTTTCATGAACAAAAGAAAAAAAATCACAAGAAAAAAATGAAAGTTTAATAAGCTTTAGTTTAATAAGTTTTAGTCTGATGAACGACATCCCCACAAAATTACCTGACCTCAACCCATACAGTCAGTGATTCAGCGAGGCAAACCAGGATACCTACACATCTCATTCAAAAATCTGAACGCAGGAAGTGCTGAATTTTTTCAAACACGACCAACTTCGCTAAAAATCGAGTTTGTGTCAAAATTCTCTCAAAAAGTCACATTGATCGCTGAAGTTCGGAAGCAAATGTTCCACGTCAGCATAAACGACGTCGCGAAAGATTTCACTAAAGATTCATCCTGTCAAGAAAATGATGTCACGGTGGCTTTAATCCGAGACAGAGATTTGATTATCGACGGTGGTGAATTTCAAGTGAGGATGAAGAACAGCGGGGACCTATCCGTTAGACTCGGTCTCGATTACATGTCTAAGGTATGCATTCTGTCTGTTGTGCTTTGTTATAATTGTTACTTTGAATTGAACAACAACTTGATAACTCTAATTCTATATCTGATCTATAAAATAAACTTTCGATAAATCACTGACCACACGTCAAGGTTCGAGGTTTGTGCGGCAACTTCAACGAAAAGTTGGACGACGAGTTCACGTCGAGGAGTGGTTTAATCGAGACGAAGCTGACTTTCTTGAAATCGTTCAGCGACTGCCTCGGTGATTTCAACACAAACGCTGTCGACCCTTGCACTTCGAACACCGCTGTTGGCATCTTTTTAAAATTTTGTTGATTCAGTAGCACAAGTTATTAAATATGACATTATTGTCCAAACCAGATATAATTATTTTGTTATTATATTGTTGCAAACTCTTTTTTCTTGTTCCAACATTTTAAAAACATAAAATAAACAAATTAATATTTTAATTACTTAATTTGTGTGACTATTTTCACGTGTTTATTATAATTGAATAGTTTCAACATCAATTTTGAAGGTGAGATCTAGTGAGAAGGTGCAAGAAAGTTGCAACCTGCTGAAGGACCCAGCTGTTTTGGGCCCATTTTGTGCCAGTGCTCCGTTAAAGATGGATTATTATGACGCTTGCTTGAACGATTTGTGTGTTGAAATAAATGCGCCCGATTTGAGTAGCAATGCACCTCTGCCTTCTGTTTGCGACTTCATTGAAGCCAAGGCGCTCGATTGCCTGCAGAGTGGAATCAGCGTGTTCGGGTGGCCCAACAAAACCGTATTAGCCAATTTCTGTCGTAAGTTGTTTTACATTTTTGTATATTTGTTTGTGATAGATCATGTTTAACAATGATTAAGTTTGTCACGTTGTAGCACGCATACACGCACAAGCCACCGGCACAATCGAAGACCCTACCCGGGTGTTAGATGCACATACCCTAGCCCTAACTCAACATTTGTTGTATTATTTCATCATTGTTTATGAAAATTGTGGCGTGATTGCATTATTCTAAAAAATTTGGTTGTGAATGTCAGAGTTTAAAATAACCAGTTCATATCTGACCCGGATATTCGACAACCCATTCTTCTACACACCTCGCACAAAATTAATATTTTCTAAAATAAAAAAAATGACGTTGTCATAATTCTTTAAATTATTTTTAATAATTAATGTTTTTGTTTAAAATAATTGTCAGCTACCCACGGAAATTGTCCTGACGGCCAAGAATACAATCTCTGCCCGCAACTGGAGCACAGATGTAGAGATCATGCTTTCCACTACAGGTTTAAAGCTTTTGTTGCTCATGGAGCTGTTTGCATTCCTGGATGCTCGTGTCCACTCAACAAGGTTTCTTCAACAATTATTTTTTTCACAACAAAAAAATCTTATAGTTAGCGTGTCTACATAAACATTTTAGTATACCACCAAGCTTTTAAAGCTCAATATGTCAAATATTTCTTATTAAGTCATGGAATGAAAAGAAGAAATTAATTAAACTACATTGCCCAAACAATGCAACCTTACCTCAACAAATGAATTCGTCACACATAATAACCGAAAGAAAATAAAAATAACATTACTTCTAAAACAAACCATCACCTAGGACTTGCACAAATATCAATAAACAATATCAGGCGTTGTTACATCCACCTCCACACTCAACATTACATCTCATGTTAACAACATCATCACAAAAGAACTGCAAACATTTCACGCACTCAAAACTCTCAAAGGCATTAAACTATTCGACATCAGCTAATTAGAACATCGAGCATCATCTTACACATCAAACGTGTAACCCCTTCCTCGCCTCTCATAGCCGTACAACAACAACTTCAACAACTATAATACAATCTCTTATCAAAAAATTAATGAATACTACTGAATATATCATAATTTATTTATTTAGTCATTATTTAATATATTTTTCTTTTTTATATTAGTTTTTATACTTGGTTTCTTTTTAACTCAACGATTTAATGTTTTATCTTTTTGTATGTAACTTTTTGTTTACTCTATTTATTTTCTTTATTTTATAAAATTGAATTGCATGTTCGAACACACAGTCTGAATTTTTAAAGAATAAGAACAAAAATTTACGTTTTTACTGAGATTGACGTTTGACTGCTTTTCTTTAAATAATCTTCAAAAATTAATTTATTCAATAAAAAGACCTGCAATGAATTGGATAGCTGCGTCGTTAGAAGCCAGTGCTCGTGCTACGATGACGTCACCGGAAAGACACTGCCTGCCGGATCAACCACCTTAAGAGGCTGCGACAACTGGTGACGATTCAATATTTGACACGTCATATTTTTTTTGTTTGAATGCGTAATAAAGTCGTATGGTTCACGTTACTAACTTTATATAACGTTACATTAACGTTAGTTAATATAAAGATAGTGTAATGGTTAAAGCGCTTGCTCCTGCCGTCGAAATGACCGCGATCGAATGCTGAGAGATCCATCTTATAGTATTTTAATGGGACGGGCGTGTGCGGCCTTATTTTTAATTTTGAAAATGTTGAAACTTTCAACTAATTAATAAATGTGGTTTGTGCGCGAATGTTTTGCGGAAATAACATATTAACATTGTAACGATTAAGCAAAATTTTTGTTTTAATGTTTTCATAATTATCTGTGTAATATATTTTTATGTAAAAGAAATTTATTTTTAAATTTCAATGTTTAAAAACTTTGTTTGTAACAAAATAAACAAAATTAACTAACATGATTAAGTGCATATCGCATACGAACGGTTGAGTATACAAAAATATTTTTCCATTTTTTTACGTACCAGCACCTGCAGCGAGGGGTTGTGGGAGTGCACGCCCATCGTCCAATCCAGCTCATGTCCAGCTGGCCTCGAGTACCAAGAAACATTTTATGAGTGTGGATCGACTTGCGAGACCTACGGGGAGTGCATCGATCCTCGACCAACATGTGGGGGGTGTGCCTGTCCCGATGGAAAAGTTCTCAACAATAATGTCAGATTTACAACTATGGAACTACTTTTTGAGCTTCTTCAAAACTTTAAATGTTCTCAAACTGTAGTTCATTAATATTTTTAGAATAAATCTCAAATTTACTTTTATCAAATGTTTTGTCAGTTAAAAGCAAATTAACTATTTTAAAGTTTTTTTTAATTTTGAAACATTTTTCAGGGCAATTGTGTTGTACCAACCGAATGCCCGTGTTACTATCAAGACCGCTCGTATCAGCCAGGAGAAACTGTTACTAATAACGGGAAAATCTGGTAAATAGATTTTTGTAAAATTAGTTGGCGTGAAGTTTGTAGTTAGAGCGTCAGACCATGTGACAAGTGACATAGTTTAACTGCATATGTAAGCGTTGTGTGTTTTTTAGATGCTGAAATTAGCTATTTATTGAGTGCTAAAAAGATGGCGCGAATTAAATTACAGTGAACATCTGTAATTAAATTTCATTAATAGCTGCAGAAGTGTAGGTATATTACTAAAATTTGGCATCATTAATAGTTTTGTTTCATTTTCTTTTAAGTTTTAACGTTTGAAATCATGTGACGAACGAATTTTTTATAGCACTTGCAAGGGTAGAAAATGGAAATGTGAAGAAAGCGACGCATACAAAGCACAATGCAAATTGTTTGGAGACGTGTACTACATCGCTTTCGACGGCATGCACAGAATACATGCTGGCCAAACCAGCTGCGCCTACATCCTTAGTAAAAGTCTTGTCAGTCCAACTTCTTTTGATTGCGATGCATTGTACATCGCTGCTTCCAATATGCCCTGTGGTCAGTCTGGAATTATTTGCTCCAAGGTTGAAAAGTTTGACGTCCAATTATTAAAAATCATCAACAGCCAGATTATTTGAAAATAATTAGACAAAGGTTCAACCGTATTTCAGGTGGTTTCGATTAAAGTTGGTCCATCCGAAGTTATTATCGCCAAAGGAACGAACCCAATTGTAAACGGCATCGCGGCTGACCTGACATCTGGCATGTACGCAACTGATAAAATAACCATCGTCAACACTATCGTACTAACCATCGTTACCTTTGATAATGGAGTCTCCATAGTGCATGATGGAGGTTTATAAAAACATACCTAATGCTTCATTCATTGAAAAAGTTTTAAATTTTAGCTCAAGTGATATTTTTGCATGTTTAAAATTGCATCACTTCACAAAATTATATGTAAATTTTTTTGTACTTTCATCACAATCATTATGAACGACAGGAACGAAGGTGGTCATCTACTTGCCATCTTGCTACAAAGGGAAAGTTGATGGTCTCTGTGGACCATTTGGAAGTTCGATTACCAATGTGAACCCTCCAGATTCAAACTCAGCCTCTCAATGGAGAGTTGATCGAACATGTCCAGAACCTAACCAGGAAGCTCTCTTTGATCCATGCAAGGTTTTCAAAATGTTTAATGTTCAAATGAACCATAATTATATTAAACACAAGTTAACATTGAAAATTAGCATGATTTTGTTTATTAAAAATACAAGTTGGTATGCTTTTTCACAGGCCCACCCGGAGCGAGTAGCCTGGGCAACCTCCTCCTGCTCCATCATCACGAAAGGAGCCGTGTTTGCCGACTGCAGGAAAGTTGTCAATTATGAAACATTCTTCCAGGAATGTATGGCTGCCTCTTGCGAGTAAGATTTGAAACAGTATGATCATTATAATCATTAATCAAACTCAGTTATTATCTTCCATGTCAAAAACGGAAGACGTTCGCCAGTAAGGCATTCTTCCACGGACATTTTCCGCTGCTCGATTTTTCGATTTAATTAGGCAAAATATTTTAAAACATTGATAAAAATATCGAAATCACTGTTATGAATTTTCTTCCTTGCCATTTTTCCCATAGTTTTATCGGACTGAATTAATTTTGCAGGTAGGAGAAAGAAAACTTTTAATTTTCAAACCGTTCCCTTCCAGCTTCCACTTGTAACGTTTTCTGCCACACACTGCCTTCATGCAAACTCTTCAATAGTAGTAAAACACCTCCGCAAACCATTGATCCCAATTTGTTCAACAACAAAATGAAATGAAATATGTATATATAAAAATATGTGTACTGCTCTTTTTACAGTTTCGTCGTTCCTTTAGTCGTCGCGTTGTTTGATATAAATTTTTAATTTTTTACGTATAAAAAAATTCATTTTTTTAAAACATAATATGAAATTATAAATGTGGAATTAGTTTTTGAAAGGTATATATAATATAATTCTCACTCCTATGCACGTGCATTGTCTTCGAATGTAGTAGGGTGGTACATTTTAGATAAATCTCATTAGAAATCATCTTATTAGATATTTTTTTGCATCATTCGATCTCTTATTTTGACGAGAATGAACAAATCATCCCATTCCTACAATTAAGCTGCGACACGGGAGGGGATTGTCAGTGCATGTGCACAGCGATTGAAAGTTTCGTGTCGGCCTGTGTAGAGCAGGGAGTCTGCGTCAGCTGGAGGTCTAACCACTTCTGTCGTTAGTTCTTCTTCCCAACGTTTTAAGTACTCTATTAAATATTTGTTTAAAACGAATGACAGCCTTGCATTCGCAACATTAAAATTCCTTAAATAATTACTGATAAAATATTTCAAATGCAGCCGTCATGTGTCCAGAGGGACAGGTGTACAGGAGCTGCCACCCGGCCTACAACAACACCTGCCAGGCACCATTCTTCAAAAATGACGACCAGCTACAAATTGAAGGATGTTTCTGCCCTGGCAACAGTGTGCTGGATGGTGAGCTTTCAGATATTCTACACTGTTTGCTTTCTTTCTTTATTTCATTATTTATCAGTCAGTTATTAAAAGCATTAAAGATTAGATTAAATTTTAAAAAGTATTGGTTGAACTTTTTAAAACAATTTAGAAAAAGGGCAGTGCATACCGAAAGAAATTTGCGGATGTTTAGTTGGTTCTGGAGTTGTTGGGGCTGGTTCAGTAACTGTCATCAACTGCCAAAACTGGTCGGCTTCAGTGAAAGTTAAATTTAAATTTTTAAAACAAATAACATATTTTTTTTTAAAACAAATTTACGACTAATGAAGACTTTATAATAAAAATCAAATGGTTGTATTGACTAAAAATATTAGAGCAATGCCAACTTAACTACAACATTAAAAACAAAATTTCACTACCAAATTAAACCACCAAAGGACCGCACAAAACTTTCGGTCTATACACAGTGGTGGATTTAGAACTTTGTAGGTGGAATGATTTTACAATTCTAAAGCTGACGACCTTTTTGTTGTTATTTCCAATAATTTCTCTTTAACCCAGTTTTGGTGGGAGATGATTTTTAAAATTCTCAAGTGAATAACATGTTTGCTAAATTCCGTTCATTTCATTACCAAGCTTTACACAGAATCTTCAATATTTTCCATCTTCATAGTCTGGTGGGGAGATGCATTTTTTCCCTGGACCCACCACTGACCATAAAATAGTAAATTAAAAGAAAAGCTCAAAATCTAAAATCCCTACAGTTTGTGCCACGAGGGAAGTTTGAAGTGCTCAGGCGAGCCCTGTAAGAGGGAGTGCACTGAGAATGAATTCCAATGTGTTACAGATCGTACGTGCGTCAACAAAACCAGGAAATGTGATGGGATCCCTGACTGCTCAGATCGATCCGACGAAAGTGGATGCAGTCAGTATATCATTACATCTACATTTTTTTACAGTTTCTATCTGTCTTACATTTTATTTTATAATTTTGCTGTTTGGCATTTTTTTAAATTTTCATCTGTTTTATATGTTTGCTATTGGAATGTATGTTTATTTATAATTTGAATCAAGCATATATTTTAAGCATTTTAATCCATTTCGTTTCAATCCATTTTAATGGTGACATTAAAAATTATTAGCAATAACAAAGTTCAAGTAGTATTTCAATATCAACTATTCAAACGAACAAGACCTTAATAGATAATAGATAGAGGTATCCATCCACGCACACATACACACCACGCACACACACATACGCGCGCACACACGCACAAATTTTCCGTCGCTATCTGACAAAGAATTTATAGGATATCAAGTAATTTTTCACACAAAGATGGCTGCAACCCCGGTCAATTCAGATGCGTGAGTAGTGGTCATTGCATCAGTGAGAGCAACAAGTGTGACAGCCAGATGGACTGCGAAGATGGAAGCGATGAAGATGAAATCTTATGCAGTTAGTCTTTTTTCATTCCGTGTAAGTATTATTATTTCTTTTAAAACTAACTTTGTGCAAAATGACACTTACATGTCGTCATTATCGACGATTCCTCTGTTTCCAAATTTATTAGTGGGAAGGATTCCAAGTGCACGTTGTTGAATATTCATTATCGGGTGGAGCTTGCAAGCACTCTTCTGATGCAGGAAGCAAGAGAACAGAACTAGATAGAGTCACTTAATTATTCATAATGGATATAAGAATTTCACGATACAAAAAATAATAGGACGCAAAGAACAAAAATTCAGCAGCAACAACAATACGACTAACAAAAATAACATAGTAACATATTATAAAAACCACATTTCAACTGCTTTCGAACAGGATGAAAAATCATGAAATGAATTTAAAAAAATAATGCTCAAGCAACTACCGAAAACGATAGTATTAGACTACGACTTCTACCAACGAACGTCATCTCCCATGATGAAAAACAACCACACTAGTTAGCCAGAATCGATAATGGATTATGGCCATCTAATATATTTGTTCAAGTGTAATATTGGTGGTGAGTGTGGGCACCACAATTTTGAATATATTGGTATGACGACGACCAAGCTATCGAGAAGACTCACGATGCACGTACAAACTGGTGCATGAAGAATCACATGACAGAGAAATAAAAAAACTAAAATTACTAGGAAAATCATGGACAACAATGTTGAAATCTTACATTACAATAACAACCATTATAATTTACGACAAGCCGAGTCAATACTCTTAGAACAAAGACATCCGACAACAAACATTCAATAACGTGCAATTGGAATCCTTCCCACTAATAAATTTGGAAAAGTGTCATATTGCACAAAGTTGAAAATCGTAATATCTAATTAAATAACCGTAAAGTATTCACATTAAACAAGGAATTAACATTGTAGAGACACAGTATAAATATACTTGAGCATTTGGCCACATACTCAACGTATCAATTCGAACACCGAAGATTGTATAGGAATACCGAAAAAAATTGTTTTGTTCTACTATGCTTAAATGTAATAAAAATTTTGTTTTTGAATTCAAGAAACTTGACAACAATTTACGATCTGCCGTTAGAAAATTTGAAAAATTAAACAGAAAGCTAACTAACGCAGAACATGTTGTGATATTCACCAATAATATATGTATGCATATATATAAAGAATATATGTATGTATATATATATTCTTTATACATATATATATTCTTTATAAATATATATATATATATATTTGCCTGTACGTTAAAAAAGCAGATTTTATGGTAGTTAGCATATTGCGCTTATGCATCATTAGCATATGTGCGGTAAACATAGGATTAATTAGCATATGTGCTGTAAACATAGAATTAATTAGCATATGGGCTGTTAAACGGTCTTCAGCGTATCACGGTAATGTGTCATTGAGCTATCAGCATCTATCTTTGAACCACCACTCCCCTGGAACCAAACAGAATGCAGAGATGGATACTTCAGATGTTTAAACAAGGCATGCATCACGAAATCTTTTGTTTGCGACGGCAAGGTCGATTGTGGGCACGACGACAACTCGGACGAGTTGAACTGCCCGACTACCTCTCTACCGTCCACCCGACCTCCTACTCACTCCATCACTCCACTACCTCCGATAGGTATTTTAAATGTCGTTTGTGAATGACTATATACAAAATTTAATTTCACTAACTCATTTATATACGGGTTTATACTTGCATAGTTAGGTTCATAAAAATATTTCATTTAGCATTGCGTATGAATAAATTGGGAATAAATGAATTGCGTTAGCTAGAGAAATATTCACGAATGTTTTCATCGCAGTTACGACATCCACGCTCTTGTGTGATTTACAAAACTTGATGTTTGAGGGAGGAGTTAAAATCGAACCGGAACCGTCGAACGGAACATTTCGGTTTCACGTTCCGGAACCCCGAGACTACAACAAACCACTGAACCCAATAAAGGTGACGTCATCTGATGACACTGCTCACTTCATGCAATTCCAGATGAACATCGTTGGTTCCGCCAAAGTCAACGTCATTGTCAAAGATAGTACTGGAGGTGTAGTTTATCAGCGTTTGCAAGTCTCCACAAATTCTGTAGGGAATATTTCCTTGTTTTGTTTTTGTGTATTTTGTATAAGAATAAACATTATATATATATATATATATATATATATATATATTTTGTGTTTTATAAAATTTGATAATTTTTTATGAATATGAAAACTTTTGAATGAATATCTCAGGTTGACAACTCCAACTTCATAACTGCCCAATTAAATAAAGTTGGAAGATCGATTGAATTTGATATCTACCCTGATGACGGCGTGCCTGAAGTATCCGCAAAAGACCTGGTCGTTTGGACATGCAAGGAATTAGGTAATCTTATGGTAGTTTGTAGTTTGCTATTTATGTTGCGTATGTTCCAGTTTTGCCAATTGCGTTAAGTTTCAAAATCATTTGATAGGTATAGATAACAAATTACAATTACATCAGTTTTATGAATTTGTTAGCTTGAATGGACAAAAAATAAATTCGTCTGAGACCGTCCAAACGACATATTTCGAACATAAATTTTGTTTTGATGTCTGAATGTCAAACATAACAAATAAAAAATTAAATCCACTCAAAAATATTTTTTAAACGAACATTGGTTCTAACTTTTAACATTTAATTTCAGGTTCAACAATTGCTCCAACTACTCCTCAAGAAACTCTTCGTAAGTTTTTTATCCTTTATAATGCAGCTGTGCCAAACGCTAAGCTACTTACATGTCATTCTCTACTTAGTGCCACAAAGGCTCTACGTTATCCACACCATACCTATTACGTATGCACGCGCAAGCACAGCATGATACGCGTGTGATGGTCTTTGACACTATTCGAACCATGCCATTGCGTAATAGCAACAAGAGACATGGCATTCCTATCGACTGAGATAACCCGGTGACCAAAAATTGATTTGGTATGTCGTTATCTGGTCGTTTGGACATACAAGAAATGAGCGATCATTGTAATTTATGCAAATGTATTAGAATTTAACTACGTACTCTCGTCACAGTTTATAAACAAACAATTGCTAGAATTTGCGTCTATCCAATTTCTGTTGATACCGTGTAAAGTTACAAACTTTCCTTATAAGTTACAAACATTCCTTATAAGTTACAGCCATTTTTTATAAGTTAAAAACATTTCTCATAATTTACAAACATTCATTATAGTTTACAAACATTCGTTAACAATTTTTACAGCTGGTGAACTTTTTGATTGCGTTCCTACTGAAGCCATGGACAATCCCTTCACAAAAGTTCAAACTTTTCCTGAATCCGCCAAATCGAGTTCCGGAAAATCTTTTCAGTTTGAGGCAAACAATGATACAACCGCATACATTGATGTTATCTTTGCTGCTGAAGTTGAGGAGGTTCCATCTATTTCTTTGAAAGGTTTCAACGTTGAGAGGGTGGAAATTTTGATAAGAGATTCCAGCGGAGTGACCATTGCAAGTGTCGGTGGTGATCTGCAAAATGACGTAAGTTTCAGACGATTGCATGGTGTGCTGGATGGTTAGGCTCATGAATTTAAGTTAATTATTTATAAGTCAGATGAAAAATTTTATTTCCACCTGAAATTTAAATAATTTCCAGATTTTTTCAAAAAATATTTACGAAAAATATAAAGCAAAATCGGTAAGAATCATTCTGCAGAAGAAAAAAGGTTTTGTTAATTCTATAATCAATCTTTCCGTGCAAATCTGCAGAGATCAAGGTGCCTAAATTCAAACTATGAAATCAATTTTTGATCTTAAACAAAATTTAAGTAATTAATTTAAAAAAATTGACCTTAACAGTAAATTTGAATAGACTTATATTTTGTAGTGACAATAGATGAAAAACTGAAATTAACAGGCACGAAACAACCAGGTCTTCACACGACAACCGCCATTAGACCAGGTCCTTTGAAATCTACTCTTTCTATCTTTAATTTTTGTTATTCTAATTTTGTTATTCTAATTAAGGATAACCATAATTATCTATTATAGTTAATTATTCGTGTGTTTGCGTTATATATTTTTTAAATAAATTAAAAAAAAATGTTATTAAAAATTGCGGTGTGCGACTTTCCGGCAAATTGGTACTCTCTGTCAGGCCGGGTTCAAAAACAAACACGGCCCAAATAACATTTTTTACTCTAAATTTAATTTTTTATGTATAGTAAACTATATTTGCAAAGTCAGAAATTACAAATACTCTTTAGGAGAAAAATATAGCCTGAGCAAAGTTTTAACAAAAATAATCCTTTTATATTTGACAATAGTATTCTTTAATAGATGTAAATTTAGAACTTTACAATAACAATGTAGTTTGAAAGGGCTGTTTATTTTTTTCCAGTAACAATTCAAACGCAATGCGAGAGCCTGGAATGGACGAGAGAATCAGATGTGGAGATTAGCGTTCTGCCGGAAACAACATTAATATCGGAAGATGACGTCTTCAATTTTGCCAGCACTTCTGTTGCCTGGGGCATAATAACCATCACATCGCCCAAGTTGTCGACTGAGATCATAAAAGTTTCCTTCTTAACAGAAAATGTCACCTCTGTGCGAATCATTATAAGGAATGTTGCGAATGAAGTAACAAAAGATATAACCAAAGCTGTTCCAGATAATGTAAGGTTTTTTTAACAATAATTTTACGATTGTAAAAACGTTTGATCAAATTATTATAAATAACAAATTTTTAAACACGATGCAACAAATACGTTGCCAGTGTTAAAATGGTATATATGTGCGTACGAAGCCTTTTTTGTAGAGTCTGCACGGAAAATCGGTTAATGTCGAAATTTGGCTATTTTTTTTAAACAGGCTCTAGTCCGGCTCAGGCTAAAATTTTGATATATGGTTGCATTGGTAAATACCTTGCTTCAGTATTTGAATAAAAATAATTTTGTTAAGGTATTTTCTTTGACTGGCTACTTTACTGGTAAAGCTGTTGAGATTAGAATCATTCCAACAAGCAACACCGCATTCTCTGTTAAAGATTTGTCAGTGAAAATTTGTAAAGAAGGTTGGTCAGGCAATGAAATATGATAATTCAATACTAAGTGTTAAATGATGTTGTTTTCAAAAAGTTTGAAATATGTTCAAGTTTAAATAAGACTTCAAGACAAAACATCAGGCACTTAAAATTTATTTGCAGGAGGCACCTCTACATGCGTTGGAGGTACAACTGCACCATCTATCGGTCAGTAACTTTCAACGTTATTTATTAAGCAAAGTATTTATGAATTAGATGTTAATTTGATAACGCAAACACATACGTTTAAAATAATTCCCGTGAGAAAAGAAGCTGACCGAATAATTTTAACATTCAGACCAATGAACAAAACTAATGTTCTTTTAAATAAGCTAATATTATGGGTTTGTGAAGAAGGTAGCTTTCTCTTTGCTTTATTCGTTATTTTCTTGTGTTTGTTAGATTGCCAAAAGCATGATCGTTTTCCTTGTAATGTAAAAAAAATCAAACAATTAATGAGCATTAAATTATTTTGTAAAACGTGTCAATATTTGAACAGTGATGACTGCAACACCAACCAGCCAATGTGCAAGTGAAGATCTCTTGAAGACTGATATCTCCATTAGTTCAAATCCACAGCTAGCCGATACTCTACCGAGCGGACCTTACTTCTTTTTGCCTCAATTGGACGTGCCTAAACCAAGCATCACCATTGTCAGTTTAATGCCCAAAAAAGTTATTTTAGTTGAAGTCCACACTGAAAACGTTGATGAAGTTAGCGTGATATTACAAGTTGAGAACGAGTTAAAGCACTATCAAAAAACCGTAAAGAAAGGGGTATGAAAATGAAAATCATTTGATGGAAACTGTTTTTATTCACCCTAACTCTATTTCTACTCACACTTGAATTTTTTGTTTTTTGTGTATATGACTCAAAAAAATTTGAAAATTTTGTTTTGTTGTACCATTAGAATGTTATTTAGAAATAAAAAGACCGTAATTTTTGACAGGTAGTCAAACTGATTGTTAACGATATAACCAACGTAATTGTGATCGAAATAACACCTACAAATTCATCTGTTGAATCAACTGTCCATCAATTAATTGTTGAAGCATGTAGCGACTGTAAGTAGCTGGAACGTTTTGTAAATTAATTTTTGTTAATTACTTGAATCATTTATATTAGTGTCAAGCACATCGTTTGTTACGGAAGCCACTGTACTAGGTGCAACTTCATCACTGGTTACAAAAGCTATATCAACAGAAACCATTGTTAGAACAAATTCAAATGTTACGATTACCACAGCTACAAGAACAACCACAGCAAGGGTTACTGAAACCAAAACTCCAGGAACAGTTTCAGCGATTGTGACAAAAGTCACAACATCAGGTAGCACCGTTAAACCGAGAACATCACATGCCACGGAACTTACAAATATCAGCTCTCAAACCACTAGACCTAGTACAATCACAACGGAAATCAAGCAAGGTATGTTTGTGTCTAGTCTTCAACTTGATTGTTCCAAATTTTCAAAACATTTACAATCAAAATTTTTATGTTGAAAGGCACCACGGCTCCAACCTGCTCAGTTATATATTTGAATTTGGAAGATGTCACAATAACGGTAGGCAATGGATTGTTTGAAGAAAGTTCTGGATCTTTCACTTATTCACCTGGCAGCTCTTTGAGTATAGAAACCGCCGAGCCGAAAATCATTATGAATATTGAATTTGATGTGGAAAATACTGAATCTGTAGAAGTCAAAATATCTGAAGCTAACAATAACATTGGAAAAACTTTCTCAATAAAACCCACAAATGGGGTGTGTACATTGGATAATATTTTATATTTTTCAATGATGAAAATAGTTAAACAAACTTTTATTTATTTGTTAAATAATTCCTGAACGAAGAATTTTTAAATTGACAGAGAATTAATTTTCCTGTTGAAACGACTGGTTCAATGATAACGTTCTTTCCAAAACTTGTTGATTCTGCTAAAATTGGTTCAATGAAAAATCTAAAAATAAAGATTTGTGGAGAAGGTACCTGCTTTTTTCAAACTGATAAATTCGATATTAATTTTTATTAATGTCCTCAGTTTCAACTATCGCACCAGTGACAACGACAATTGGACACTTCACAAAATCAACAACTGAATCAGGTGAATTATCTTGCAGTGTTTTTTCAATATTTAAAATTGATGTTTTCATATAATTTTTAAATGGCAGGAACAACGCCCAGTCTCTGTAGAACACTCGACATTATAAAAGATCCAAACACTAAAGTTGAGTCCAACCCAAAGTTAGAAGTCTCGTCGAAAACGCATTTTACTTTCCCGGTCACGGATGGAAGAAATCCGAAACTAACAATAACATCGTCTGGTCCTGTTACGATCATGGAGTTAAATTTCGATCAAGATAATGTACACCGAGTTGTTCTTACTTTCTTGAACGAAGCTGGGGATGTTGTCAACAATGAAACGAAATTTATCGAAACAAAGGTTAGGTATCTTTTGAGTCCTTCGATAACTTTTATTTAATGGAAAAAATTACATAATGACAAACTATTTATTCTGACAGTCGACAAAGTTCAATTTTAATGTCATGGCCAAAACGGTTATTGTTGAACTTTTCCCGGAAATCCCGTTAGGAAATGTAGTAATTAACAACATGGAAGTATGGATTTGTGGCGAACCAGGTCAACATGAGTTTTTCAAGTTTTAATACAATTAGTTCCTTTTGCTTTGTCGTTTATTTATAATCTGATCTAATGGTTGTGAATATTTTTTTTTGCAACAGATTAACTTATATCTTCTTGTTTATGTTTCGTTTATTTTCTTAATCCGTCTAAATATTTCAACTCGAAATAATGTCGATCATTATGGCGTCACCGAAAATAAATTTTTTGTCACTTAATCCACAGTTCCAGGAACAACTTCATCACTTGTCTCAGAAGCAACAACTCCAAGAACAGTTTCAGCAAAAATTACTGCAGCGGGAACAACTGTTAAAACAAGTACATCGCATGCCACGGAACTTACAAATATCAGCTCTCAAACCACAAGACCTACTACAATCACAACGGAAATCAAGCAAGGTATGTTTGTGTCAGTCTTTCAAATTTTCAAAAGTTTCACATTAAAAATTTTTATTTTGAAAGGAACCACGGCTCCAACCTGCTCAGTTATATATTTGAATTTGGATGATGTCACACTAACGATAGGCGATGGAATGTCTGAAGAAAGTTCTGGATCTTTCACTTATTCACCTGGCACCTCCTTGAGTATAGAAACCGCCGAGCCGCAAATCATTATGAATATTGAAAATGAGATGTGAAAAATACAGATTGTAGAAGTCACAAAATCTGAAGATAAAAATAACACAGGAAAAACTCTTTCTGTAAAAAACCCACAAATGGGGTGTGTACATGGGATAATATTTTATATATCACAGAGAAAAAAATATAAACAAACTCTTATTATTTTCTCTTATAATTCCTGAACGAAGAATTTTTTTATTGACAGAGAATTAATATTCCCGTTGAAACGAGACTGGTTCTGATATAACTCTTTCCAAAACTCTTGCATTTTGCTAAAATTGGTTCAATAAAAAAAATAAAAATAAAGATTTGTGTAGAAAAGGTACGCTTTTTTCAAACTCTTTTATTCGCTATAAATTTTTTTAATAGTCCTTTTAGTTTCCTATCGCACCAGTGACAACGACAATGGGACGCTTCACAAAATCAACAACTGAATCAGGTGAATTATCTTGCAGTGTTTTTTCAATATTTAAAATTGATGTTTTCATATAATTTTTAAATGGCAGGAACAACGCCCAGTCTCTGTAGAACACTCGACATTATAAAAGATCCAAACACTAAGGTTGAGTCCAACCCAAAGTTAGAAGTCTCGTCGAAAACGCATTTTACTTTCCCGGTCACGGATGGAAGAAATCCGAAACTAACAATAACATCGTCTGGTCCTGTTACGATCATGGAGTTAAATTTCGATCAAGATAATGTACACCGAGTTGTTCTTACTTTCTTGAACGAAGCTGGGGATGTTGTCAACAATGAAACGAAATTTATCGAAACAAAGGTTAGGTATCTTTTGAGTCCTTCGATAACTTTTATTTAATGGAAAAAATTACATAATGACAAAC